GGGTGTGTTATGAGCCAAACGCAAAGGAGCGTGAGTGCTGTGGGGTTGGCTTGAAGTTCATGGTTCAGGGTGTCTTCTACGCCATTCGTAAGACTAAGTCTACCTTGTACTCTCGCATCTTCGCGAAGAGGATCAACAAGAACACCCATAGACCCCTAAACCTCCAGACCCCTGAATTTCTAGTCCCTAAACCTTAAACCCTAAACCATGGACCCCTAAACCACAACGGGCGTTTGGGCCTGGGGCTCCAGGGTTCAAGTCGAGTCGGCCCCGAAGAGAATCCGTCACGCGTGGACCGAGCTTCCGTCCAAGCACCTCGACGCTCAGCCCACAGGGCTGTGCACTGTGTTTCGCCCCAAGGATCCGGCAACCCCTGCTACTGTCAAATTTTCGAGTCTCTGCTGACAAAGCTGATGCAGTCGGGGCCAAAAGTGGCACTTCTGGTATCATTGTCAGGCGCTGAGTGATTAAAGGCACTAAACCACCCGTGACCCCGTATAGCTTCGCGGACCGTCGAGTGTCAGCTGTGCCTTAGCTCTTGCCCAGGCATCCAGGTGAGTTCCCAGGGCAGGTTCGCAAAGATGGCAGCTATGCTACCCGGTTTGCTGCCCTGCACTTGAAGAAAGCTGGACAGGTGGACCCCACGTGCTATCAGGATGACAACATTGGCTTGGTCCCCACTGCATTTTGGATTGTGTGAGGGTCCCCACCATGCACGGGCCGCGATCAGGCGCATTCGTTGCTGCCGGAGTGGGGCTGGACGGTCATTCGCGGTCAGCCTAACCGGAGTGGATCGACTGGGCGTGCTGCTACCTCACCCCCCCGGCTGCATGCTGCTTCGTCAGTGTTCGACCTTTGTTGATCAAGCCTGTGAGTGGTGAGGCGCATCTCCCCAGCATCCACTGCTCAGGCAGGCATTGCAGTTGCAGCGCCCATGGATGTTAAGCCGCCACCGGTTGTTGCGTCGCAACTTCCGCTGGTTTTGCGTGAGGAGCTTGACAAGCATGCCTCTGCGATCCGGCAGTCGCTCTGTGCTGAGTTTGTTTGAAGTCAGTTCCAGGCTTGACGAGGCCTGGCCTGCGTGGCCCGACTCGTGTCAGGACTTTGGTGCACAGGTGAATGAACTCAAACGAAGTCAGACTGAGGTCTGAGTGCTGAGCCGTCGGGTCTGGATATATCTGCCGACGACGCTTCTGCGCTTGCCAGCTCTTTGCCTGCGGCGCTGCAAGGCGCGCTGCCCAGTGTTCTCGCTCCAACCATCACAACTGGGCCCGCCCATGTGCCGCAGAGCCCGCCGCGTAAGAAGTCCAAGGACGACGAGTGTGCACTGGTGATGCTTTAGTCGCTCGCGCACTTGATCCGTGCCATCCACTCTTGTGTGAGCGTGGCGAGCAGCGCTTGGCTGCTGGTTGATGAGCCTGCGACGTGTCTGTCTGCCTAAAGCACTCGTGTTTCCGTGCATTGCAACTTCTTGGCCGTGCTTGGCGGTCCTGCCTTGCTTTTCGTTCGGCGCAGCTACTTCCGCTTTGTTGCATCTGTTTTGCCTTCCCTCGGTCAAATTCCGTTCAGGCCACCTGCCTTGTGTGGTGGTGGTGCCTCACATTCTGCTGCATCGTGCGGGGGTCACCCAATCCGGGTAGAGGTTGTCTCTCCCGCGCGGCGTTGCCCAACCTCGGCAACACCTGTTGGCTGAAGGTTGCAATTCGTTCGTGTGTGTGTGTGTTTTCACGCTGATTGGAGTGGCATGAGCTTGTCGCTGACATGACCAATCTTGGTTTTCATGATGGAACTCAGCGCAATCCTCGTGGACTTCTCGAAGCCCTTGTGTGTTATTCATCCTGCGTGGGATGAGCTTCACATGTGCGCTTTTCAGCGCCTTGCCACTTGCACCGGTTGTGGCTCTGCACGTCCGCTTCCGGCTGAGATTTGCCTTACTCCAACGTTACGCGTTCCGTCCGAGCGTTCCTCACTTGACCGTCTGCTCTTGCACTTTGTTTCCTCGCATGAGCAGGATCTTGACTGCAGTGCCTTTGGTCGGACGAGCATTGTTTTGGTCCTTGTGTGTCTGTTGGTGCCTTCGATTCTTTGGTCTTGTGTGTCTGTGTCGGGCAAGTCCGCACGGGCGAAAAAGCCGTGTCTCTGTTCAGGTACCGCCTTGACTTTACCGGTCAGCGTTACTCCCTGCAGCTCGCTGTTCCGCACCTTGGCCCTTCGCCGCCTGTTGTGCACTGGACTGTTTTTGATGATGCTGTGGTGCGCACTGTTTCTGCCCCCAGATCTTGTGATGCATGTCTGGGCCGCTACCTGGCTTGGGACTTGTCTCGCGACGCAGTCTGTTTGGTGCAGCGTCGCCGGGTGCCCAGCCTTGTCCATGTGCCGCCCACCTCAACCACTGCTGATGCTCGGGCGGCGGCGGCGAACCGGTTCCAGCTTGTCAATGCTAGCACCACTTCGTGGTTTAGTGGATGGCCGCAACTCGGCAGGGAACTTGAGGCTTCTCTCCCTCGTGCGGGTGCCGGTGTGCAGCTGCACGGAGTACGCTACGCTAGAAGCTGAGGGCGGCCATCCCGTTCCGGTCTCTCGTGAGCTGAGGCGGCATTTGCGTCACCGAAGAGTTCATGAGCTTCATTGGTCAGAAAACAAAAGTGCTCAAGAGTTGCGGTTTGGGCCACTACCCGCACCGGCCGCTTGCAGGTCAAAACGTTGCAGCTTCAAGGCCAGCCTCTCGCGCTTAAGGCTGCTAGTAAGGACCTTGGTTGCTAAGTCCTGTTTCACGGTCCTCGTCGAACCCAGATTCCATGTCAGCGCTTCTCGAAGGCGCGTAAAGCTGCAAGAAGAGCGCCCGCCGTGCTCCCCTGCCCCTCCTGCAGAAAGCTCAGCTGGTTTGTGGTGCCGCTTCCAGTCTTGCCAACTACGGCCTGGAGTCTAGAGACTTGCTTTGTGGGTGACCGGCCTTTGCAGCTCAAGCAAGCGTCCTGTTGCTCTTCACACAGGCCCCCCTTGACACGTTTCATGCGCATTTCTGCCAAGGCTTTGGCACACTTCTGCTGGCTGATGTTGCCTGTCGGCATGCATGGCCCGCTTGGTGGCACCGTGCGGCTACGCCACGTGGCCCTGTGTCGCTTCTGTGGCCATTTGTGTCTGGGTTTCAGTCGACTTGGTCTTCTTTTTCACGCTTCGCATTGCCATTGGCGACTTGAACCTTCTCACTTTTGAGCCTTCTGCGGTTGCTCACGAGCTTTGGGAGGTCGCCCGGCTATGAGCTTGGCACCGGGCCTTTGGTCTGCACGAGCACTACGAAAGTGTACAGCACAGTGGGGTTGACCGCATTGCTACAATGCACCTGCATGCGTCCCTGTTTGACCTTCAGCGTGGGTTTCTGCATGGCATCTTTGTCGATGCCCAGTGGACCAGCTCCCGTGCCTTCAATGCCCGGGAGGCTGTGACCTCCGCGTCCTTGTGGTGCCGCTAAGCAGGACACCTTGCACTATTTCTGGGTCTTCCTTAAGGACACTGCCCGGCCTTGGCCGTCCTGCTTGGCCCCACCGTCCGAGCCACTCTTGCAAGCGATGCCTTGCCCAAAAGGGAAGCCGAAGGTTTGAGGTTGTGAGGTCATGATGGTTCACGTTGCTTGGGCTTAGGTGGCATATCATGTTGCATCATGCTACTACAATGTCGACTTTCCATAGCGTTGCATGTCGTGAATCCTTATGAGTGCAGTGTCGACATGTTACAACATGCCACACGTCGTAGTCTGATATCGTGCAGAGTTTAGTTCAGGGTTCCTGCCATCTCCAACTCGTCGGTGCAACCCAAGAGACTCAGCAGGGTAGCATTTCAAATGCTTCATGTGTACAATAAACTTTAACACTCGTTGGTCACAAACCCCAACCATATCCTGCATATGACAACGTGTGGCTACCCTTTGATAGCACGAGTTGCTTGTAGAGGCTTCGAAGGTGTCCTGGATGTGGCGTAGAGGAAGCATTGGTCAGCAGGGAAGCTGCCAAACCGCACAACAGCGCAACTGTCTGCAGGTGAGGGTGAAGAAGAAGGCTACGGCGATGAGTTCTGAGATCGTCCTTGCCTGTGAAGCACGAGAGGGCAGCCTGCAAAACATCGCGTTTTGATTTGGATCGAAGTTAGTGGACGAAGCAGGACTGCGGCTGCACCACCTCGTGCAATGCATGGGTGCCTCGCGTGGTAGTGACGGGTGAAACGATCCCTGTTGCCGCATGCGATGCTTGCGAGGGCTTCGCCGACTCGGTTCGGCATGACCCGAACTTGCGGAGCTTCGAGCGAAAATCGAGAGCTGCCTGCAAGCCTGATTCTGGGTGTCATTACAGTCTTTGAAGGACCAGCGTTGTCATAGCACGAAATAGAACGAAACTATTTCTGTTGCTGCTGCTGCTACTCCTCTTACTAGTTTTTGCACGTGCAACAACCAGACCAGTCACAACAACAGCGCCGCTACGTCTACTACTACTACTACTACTACTACTACTACTACTAATTACTACTACTACGACGACGACTACTACTACTACTACTACCGCTTCTAGTTACTATCCAAAAGCCTTTGATCATGAAGAGAATCTTTGTTGTACTGCTGCATTCCCTGTAAACCCCAAAGTCTTGAACAATCCTAGACCCCCAAACCTTCAGCCCTAAAGCCCTAAACTTTAAAGGTTAAAGCCCTAAGCCGTAAACCCTTAGTCCTCAACCTTAAGCCCCAAAGCCTTAAAGCCCTAAACGGTTGATGATATACATCCTGCATTACTCATGATAAGGCATATACCATAATTCCCATAGTCTATGGTCATTAAGGTATTGCAGGATTTATATCATCAACCGTAGCATGCTAGTAACCCTTACACGGGAGTTTCCGAAAAGCGGGGACCCTAACGTAGTACCCAAACTAGTAGGATCCTTACTATAAGGACACCTAAAATATCAACCGGAAGCACCGGAAGCTGCTCGGTTTTCATTTTCGGGCCGAGGTTTACCGTTGGCAGCCCGGGAGCTCCAGCTTCGAGCTACACCAGGCGCCCTCCCCTGAAAGCACGGGACGAAAAGAGAAAGAGAAAGAGAGAGAGAGAGAGATATATACATACATATATATATATAGATATATATAGAGAGAGTTCTGGTATAAATAAACAAATAAATAAATAAATAAATAAATAAATATATATATATATATATATATATATATATATGTATGTATGTATGTATGTATGTATGTTTGTATACGGGGTCTGCTTGCAGATGCAAAGTCAGTCTGAGCATAACGAAGTCCCATCACGACAGGAACAGAGACGTGCGGAGCGGCCGTGGTCACAGTGACCCACACTTGCATAGCAGCATAGCAATCGCAGGTTAAGCGTGTTCATGCAACCCCAAATTCGTAAGTCAGTGTGTGATATCATCAAAGGATGTCCCAGGGCAGTCTCAAGAGGATTATGTACATGTCCGGCCTCCGCATTTCTGTTCTGTTTTGGCATCCTGCTCATTTTCTCGCGAAACCCACGGTTGTTACCTCAGGCAGAGCTGCTAGCCGGACCGTTCAGATCTCGAAGTTCGATTTCTTCGCACCGCTGCCGTTGGCTCTCCCAGGATTAGGTGCCTGAGGCCACTGCATCACGAGGTGACTTCCGACGCTCTCCTTTGAGATCTTCGCTTCGCAGCCATGCGTGAGGCAATCTGCATCCACATCGGACAGGCGCCGGTGAAAGTGCGGTCACGTTTTGTAAGATCAGTTCAAGGTGTGCACCTCTTCATTTTCCACAGTTCATTGCGAACAGTACATGGGCCTGTACCCACAAACCTCGCAGGGTGGCGTCCAGATCGGCAATGCTTGCTGGGAGCTCTTCTGCCTCGAGCACGGCATCCAGCCCGATGGACAGATGCCCTCGGACAAGACGAGCCTCGGGCAACTACGAGCTGGGTTCGTTGTGGTGGAGGAGTAGTGATCGTCTTCGTAGTTGTACTAGATCTCGGAGGCTTCGTCGTCGTCGTCGTCCTTGTCAATTTGGCTGTTTGCGGAGAAGTTGAACTCTAGGAGCACTCTGTCCAGTCACTGAAGGAGCAGGAACTATATTTTCCTATCGAACTGGTCATATTCGGCAAAGTTATTGGATTCATCTTGATACTGGTGTAGGTTCCAAAGGGTTTGGAATGCCATGCTGAACAGGCTGCATAACTTGACACATCCCGTAGCTCAGGATCGGCGGTGGTGACGCATCCTGACTTTGTTTGGACATAGGGCTGATAGTAAGGTGCGCAAAGGGTTGCATGTGTGGTTTTCAAGGTGTTCCGGTTTACACTGCAGTGCTTCATTCGGCTTTCTTGACGGAGCCCTCAGCTTGTCGGTGCTACGACTGCTACAACATCTTCAGTCCGTCCCCGGCCCTCTGCAGACCAGAGAAAGCCAAGAATGGGCGAAGGAAGTCATAGAAGCCTTCAACCATGGAGTTGCGACAATCAGAACTCAAGGTCTCCAACATATATCCGGCTTCAGCTAGCTGCTGGATTTGGGCACACATTGCTAAGTTGAAGCCGTGTATTCATGCTTGTGTGAAGAAAGGTTCACCGGCAAAATGCCTGAGGTTTCTAAAGGAAGGTATTCTGCGCCTGCACTAACTGTCACACGACCTGCCATTGCTCCCCACGCTTCCCGAACGATCCAAGTGCGTGCCTCACCCATGGCAACAAGAGTCAGAGGTTGTGCTCTAAGAAGTTACCGTGGTCATTTGGTTATTCACCAGCGCTCGGTGTTAATCTGCGAATACAGAAGAAACCACCGCTGCAGACAACAGGGATTCGTGTGCAGTACGTTGATGTAGCATGGAAATCAGTATTGGCAAGTTGGAGCCCGACTTGATGACCCTAAACCCTAAACCCTGAAGCCTAAACCCTAAATCCTAAACCGCCTTGCATGTACAGGGTGCTAGACTTCAAGGCGCTTCCAGATGCCGGTGAAAGAGATTTCGGTAGAAGATGTCTCGCCAGGACGCATTCAATACCTTCTTCAGCGAAACGGGTGCTGGCAAACACGTGCCCCGCTGTGTGATGGTTGCTTGGAGGCGATTGTGATCGGAGAATCAGGCGACCGATGTTGAATGCCACAAGCAAGCACCAGCAAAACATGCCTGGAACAGAAGTAGAAGCAACACGCTTAGATCCGAAAAATCATGAACCGAGGTTGATTTGGAGCCCACAGTCGTGGATGAAGTGCGCACAGGGACGTATCGGCAGCTTTTCCACCCGGAACAACTCATTTCCGGCAAGGACGTTAGGGAGAAATCCAGCATAACGACATGATGTTTGTCCCATGCTCTTTCTATGATAGTGCCACCAACACAGAGCTTCAAAGTGTTCTTTATGCAGGAAGATGCAGCGAACAACTTTGCTCGTGGACATTATACGATCGGGAAAGAGATCGTTGATTTGGTCCTCGACCGAATCAGAAAGCTTGCGGACAACTGTGCTTCAGCTGCTTGAGATAGTTTCAGTCTTTTTCCTGCGCAACAAAACCCTTCCCGCACATTGAACAACCTGAAGCCAAAGATGTGGGAAGAAATGCACGCATTGTTTGCAGGCACTGGTCTTCAAGGGTTTTGCGTTTACAACGCATGTGGCGGCGGAACAGGATCCGGCCTGGGTTGCCTCATGCTCGAGCGTCTCTCGGTGGACTATGGCAAGAAGAGCAAGATCTCTTTCACCGTGTGGTGCTGCCCGCAAGTCGCCACCGCTGTTGTAGAGCCCTACAACACAGTCCTGTGCGTGCACTCACTCCTCGAACACACGGATGTCACCATCATGCAGCTTGGATTCGCATAGTCAGTGCGATAACGACAGCATGCCATAGATCCATGACTCTTGGTGCAGAATCTCAAAGCCGAGGTACGACAACGAGGCATTGTACGATATTTGCCGCAGGAACCCTTGGTTTTCGTTTGGAACATTTTTATTTGGAGCCGGTGTCTGTAACTTTGAAATATGGATGCTAAGAAATCATCGATCCGACATGCTGAAGCCCTTCTCAGGAACTTGGACATTGAACGCCCCACGTACACCAACCTCAACCGCCTCATTGCCCAGATCATTTCCAGCCTGACGGCGTCTTTGCGGTTTGATGGAGCCTTGAACGTGGACATCACTGAGTTCCAGACCAATCTGGTGCCGTACCCCCGCATCCACTTCATGCTGACCTCGTACGCGCCGGTGATCTCCGCTGAGAAGGCCTACCACGAGCAGCTGTCCGTCGCCGAGATCACCATGTCTGTCTTCGAGCCGGCCTCCATGATGGTCAAGTGTGATCCGCGCCACTGCGCAGCACGCTAGTACTGCTGCGCAGTTGTAAGTCACTCTAGACGTATTCTTGTCTGCACTGAAGAGTACTAGCAACCATCTTTTACCTTTGGCAATGTAGCAGAGTGCAGCTAAGGCCACGGCAAATACATGGCCTGCTGCATGATGTACCGTGTGGCACTCAGCAGAGCGTGGTGCACCCGCCCACACCCACGGCATTTGATCTTACGTGATTTTTCACATGTGAGGCGGAGATGTGGTGCCGAAGGATGTGAACGCCGCCGTGGCTACCATCAAGACCAAGCGCACCATTCAGTTCGTCGACTGGTGCCCGACCGGCTTCAAATGCGGCATCAACTACCAGCCGCCTACCGTGGTGCCGGGCGGTGATCTGGCGAAAGTGATGCGTGCCTGCTGCATGTTCCTTGCTTGAGCTTCAGTAAGGCAGCCAGCTGTCCCACCTTCCTGGCAAGCTTTTTTCAACAGCTGCCTGGCTCTTCGTAAATTAGGATCTCCAACAGCACCGCCATCGCCGAAGTCTTCTCCCGCATCGACCACAAGTTCGACTTGATGTACTCCAAGCGCGCCTTCGTCCACCACTACGTCGGAGACCTGGCCCGCTTTCAGAAGTCATTTTTCGCTTGAACACTCAGCAATAATTTTATCATCCTAAACCATTTTATAGTCTACAATGCTCCAAAACCCTGTTCTGATTGCCAAGGCACCTACGTTAGATCTCAAAGTACCGCTAGCGAGAAGCTAGCAGCAGTTCAACCAAAACTTCATCTTCTCGAGATTAGCCCGAAGCCCCGAAACCCAAAAGCGACCCCTGCGAGAGCCCCAAACCCGAAGAGGAGCTCTTACAAAGCCTTAAACCCTAAACCCCCATTGGCCTCAAAGAACTCATAGAACCCCTTGAAGGAGCCAGCCCCAAAGATCCGAAAAGCCCCCGAGGAGAGGGCATGGAGGAAGGCGAGTTCTCGGAGGCCCGGGAGGACCTGGCGGCACTGGAGAAGGACCGTGTTGATTGTCTGGGTGTTTTTTTTTGAATAGTTTTTTCTTTCAGAAGCAACACGGTTTTTTTCATCTAAGAGTTTCGGTTTAAGAGCTCAGGTTTGGGTTTGAGAGCTGTTTTGGCTATCAGGGTTTGCCAGGGTCTGTTTCGATGTTTTTTGCTGGATTTAGAGGGTTGTATAGGTTTCATAACGGTGTTGCCATGGATCTTAACAGGTGCTGTGGAGTTTTGTATAGAGATATGGGGCTTCCAAGTGGGGCGTCAGGGGTGCTGGCTTTGCAGGGCCTTCTAAGGTCATAAGGCTACCCAACAACTTATAGTAGAAGCCAGAAAGTTGGAACATGGATTTAGGAGGATTACTGCTAGGATCCCTTATGCTTTACCTTAAGGGCATGGGGATAATGATGTTCCAAGTTTCTGACTTCTACTGTATACGGATCCTGTCGGGGTTTGGGGTGCTTTGGAGCCAGCAGGCTTCACGGCGCATGGATGTTAAGGGTTGTTTCGGGCTACGGGTCTAGGATGAAGGGTGCACATCACATGACGCTTGGCTTGAATGCCCTTTTCAGTTCAGAGTGTAGGCAGGAAGCTTCTACATGGGCAATGTCTCCATCATTGCTTCTGCTTGTCAACTTCATCTTCCATCTTGTTCATCTGGATTTGGGGCGAATCTTGCTCCTCGATGGAGCTGCCGTTTGCGTGACAGCTCTTGGCGTACGGCGTTAGTAGGGGTACTCCTCGTGGTCGCTGTGGATGCTATGTTTCTGTTTGAAAGTTGGGTTTTGTTTTCTGGGATTCGAAGTCTGGGGAACTGTAGCGACTGTAGTCTGGGAGAGGCCTGAAAGGCAGAAGTGCACAAGTACAAAGCCCGTGTGGAACCACAAATTCTGATAAGTTCTTTTGACATCTCACACCAGTTGAACTGCGCAGGACTACGAAGAGGTTGGCATCGAAACTGCGGAAGGCACTGTGTTAAAGGGTTTAGGATTTAAAGAATGGGGCTTTGGGGCTTTCGACACCATACCAGTAAGGACATGTATGGAGTTGCATGTGGGCAGGGTGTAAGGGTGGGTTGTCGGTTCTCTGCCTGCAGAAGCTAATCGATTCGATGGAGGAAGGGAGCCGTTCTGGGCTCGACTCCAAGCCGTTCTCTCTCGCGTGATCTGGAACATCATGTTCCAGAGAAAATCCATGCTACAACATGTTACAACCCATAGTCAGTTAGTGTGGCAAGGAAACCGTAACGCCGCGCCGTATGCGACAATTCCACGTCCGACGTCACCTTACAGCAAGAACACAGCAATATGTAGAAGAGAGGATCAGGGTCGGTTCTCAGGGTTTAAACTTTGAGTGGTCATGGCCCTTTCAGTCTCAAGAGTAGCTGGTCCGACGCGCAAATGTGAGCTGCAACACTCACGGGTCGCGAAACCTCTGCCCACAACTATTTCTCAAGTGCTGCTAGTTTCTGACACCAAGACATGACAACGTGCACGCAGTCTGGATGCTGAAGGTGTGTTTAGAGTCTTCATGGTTTCATCGTTGACATAGAAGAAATTTGGATCAGCAGGGCGACTGCCAAACAGCACAGTCACGAAATTCTTTGCAGGTGAGGGTGAAGAGGAAGGCTACGGCGATGAGTTCTGAGCTCGTCCTTGCCTGTGAAGCACGAGAGGGCAGCCTGCAAACTATCGTATTTTCATTCCGATCAAAGTTAGTCGACGAAGCAGGACTGCGGCTGCACCTCCTGCAATGCATGGGTGCCTCGCGTGGTGGTGACGGGTGAAACGATCCCTGTTGCCGCACGCGATGCTTGCGAGGGCTTCGCCGACCCGGTTCGGCATGACCCGAGTCTGCGGAGCTTCGAGCGAAAATCGATTCTGGGTGTCTTGAAGGGTCTCCGCTTCCTCGGAACAAGATACCAGGACGACTTGTAGTGCTGCAACTGTTGCTGCCATTTCATTGTTGCTGCCGCTATGCCTTCCACTTCCTCTTTGGACAGGAATGATAACAACAGTCACAGCAACAAGACTTGAGGGTTTTGAGTTTTGGGCTTTAGCGTTTAGGATTTGGGCAGTGCAAGGAGGGTTTTGGGCTGAGGGGTTAGTCTTCATATTCTGCCGCTGCTGTTCCCGCCCCTCTCAACCTCAAAAGTAGAAGCCCTTAAGCTCAAAACCCTTGGAGCGTCGTGTGATATCTGCCGGGGCAGGGCTAGTGTTAATAAGTGCATCCTTACCTCCAGGGCCTAGACCTAAATTCGTTGATGTGACGCTCGTGTAATCTGGGCCCCAAGCCTTGTTACCCCAGCCGCGCTAACACTCCGGGTTTCAGGAGGGTTATTAGAAGGGTTACTGTGAAGGCTACTATCAGGGCTGGCCATACTCGTTGGATCGGGGGACTCCATGAGTATGAGTAGGCGTAGTTCCACCTTCTGAGTCCTCTGATCTTTTCAGCGTAGAGATTCGAGAGTTTCAGAAAATAGGGGGCCCTTATAAAGTACCCTGAACAGTACGACACTTATAGAAAAGGACCCCAAAGAAGGTACCCCTAATGTTCGAAAACTCCCATTTCGGATCGAGGAAAGCTCGTTTTGGGCCAGGAGACGTAGCCACCCTCCACATCGGCAGGGCTCCCAAATACATCAGGCCCCAAAGGCCGAAAACTTCATAGAACCCTTATACCATAGACTACCCTTAGAGGTCTTGTTCAAACAAAAAGAGCACCTCTTTCCGAACACCTCAACCCTAAACCCCTAACCTCAAACCCCCTAAAACCCTAAAACCTTAAAGCCCTAAAAACCCTAGAAGCCCTAAAACCCCTAAAAACCCTAAGTCCTAAAACCCAGAAACCCTAAAACCCTGAAGCCCCAAACCCCCTGCAGGCTCTTCCCACGCGAGGCGCCTGGGCTCTGACGTCCTTCCGCCTCTCCGGAGAGGTCTTCTTGGCCGTGGCGAGGCCTTCGGTGGGCGTGTATGAGGGCTTCAGGATTGGTTTCGGGGTTTTGGGGGTGGTTTTGGGGGTTTCAGGCGCTTCAGGGTTTGTTTTACGGGTTTTGTCGGTGGGTTTTGGGGCTTCAGGGGTTTAAGGGGTTTCAGGGGTTGCTCGAGCTTCGTAGCGCTTCGGTCGGGTTTTTGTTTTCAGCGGCGGGGCCCTGAAGAGGGGCTTCTTTTCCTCTCGGGCTTTCGGGTTCAGGATTTCGGGGGGTTTGGGGTTTAGGGTGTTGGGGGTTTATTCTTTTGATGGTCGCTTTATGTTGTCCTGGGTCTTGAGGGCTTTGATGGATTTAAGATGTCGTGGGCTGGAGGGCTCGGATCCGTCAGGATGTTGAGCACTATTGCTCACGTCGGCTATTGATAGAAGGATTGTCATGGTCCATGGTTGTAATATTATTGCAGTTCTCAAAAGTACAATGATTATCTATCGTTAGTATGTCTGCTGCTACCAGCCCTTCTTGACCACAAGGGCTTTGATTTCTTGTGGGCCTGGCGGAGACTTACTTGCAGAGTAGGTAGCCCTTTAATTTTTTTGGGTACTAGACTCCCGAAATAGTCCCCACGTTTAACCTTTAGCCCCCCTATGATACTGCACACACCCTAAACCCCAAATCCATTAAACCCTAAACCCTAAATCCCGAAACCCTAAATCCTAAATCCAGAAACCCTAAACCCCGAAACCCTTAAAAACCCTAAACGAAAGGGGATTTGGAGGGTACCGCAGTTCCGATGCTCGAAGACGGGCCGGGGAGTCTGATGTGGTCAAGTGTGAACCTGAGCCCTCTTCTAAACGCAAGGACCCTAAAACCCTAAACCCTAAACCACCATGAGACCTTAAACCTGCAGACCCCATTACATATCCCTAGCAACGTGTTTTAGGGATCCTAAACCACCCAAAGATCCTGAAAACACAAAATGGGTAATTCGCTATTAGGGTCCCTTTTGGGGTCTCTTGTAGAAGGCTTTTTGGGGCCTAGAAGGGTGCCCTGATTTAGAGAACGACCCAAATCCTAAGCCACCTTGGGCCCTAAGCCCTAAGACCCGAAATCCCAAATCCTAAACCACGTCAAGACCCTAAATCCTAAATCCTAAACCACCTTAAGACCCCAAACCCTATGACCCTAAACCCTAAACCCCATTAGAGATCCATTGCAACATCCTTGCCTGGGGCCAGTTTCTTCGATGGTGCCAGCCGCAAGTTGAGCAGCCGCCTGTATCGCTGGGATGCAGGCAGCTCAGTCGAGTCATCGCTCCGACAGGTTACATTTGGGTTTAGGGGTTCAGGGGTTCAAGGTCCGAAGCTAAGGGTTCAGCATCTCAGGTCAGGGTTTGGGGATTTGGGGTTGGTTTTGGGTTTTCCCAAGAAGCAAGGGACCGCACTGAGCCCTGGTTGTGGGTGAGTGTTAGCAGGCTTATGATGCTTCTTTGGGTTTCGCGGAGGAGGTCAGTAAATCCTCAACCCCTAAACCCTACTTGGAGGATCATGGGACTTAGTAAGTAAGGTGATAAGTACCTTAATTGGGGTTATAAGTATAGCTACCCTAGTTATAACCCTAGTTACTAAGTCCCATGACCCTTTAAGTAGACCCCCAAAACTCCTAAACCCCTACACCGTTTTACACGGATCCCCGAAGAAAGGGTCTGAACAACTGGTAATAATATTTCTCGTTAGTCGTTGTGGCTCAGACAGAAGAGTCTAGACAACGAAGGCTATATTAAACTTCGGGCCTGGTTTGGCTTTCGGGCCAGATTTTGGGATTTAGTTTTGCGGCTTGGGAGTTCATGGTCCTAGACTCTAGTCGAATCTTTGCGAATGAAGCCCAGAGTTCTAAACCCTAAACCTTAAACCCTGCGAAAAGACTTAGCAAATCTGACACACCCAAGAGCCTTCCGCCCGCCCAGGTGGGTCTGGACATGTTCGTGTGGCATCAGGCGGGCCTTAAACCACAAACGCCACGAACCCTGCAAGACCTAGAAATCCCAGAAACCATATGGGCGGTTGTCAATATTAGGGTCCCTTGTTGGGTCCTCATTATAATACAGCACCTAAGATTTAGGGTACCCAAAAAGGGACCCTAAACTGGATAACCACCCATCTAAATCTTGAAACGCGAAAAGCCTCAAGCACCTATTCTCGGAGCTCCATACACCGTAAAACCCGCAGAAGCCCCCCAAAAAACCCGCGAGCCCTACAGACCCTGTAAACCCGAAAGCTTTGAAAGCCTTGTAAACAGGCCATTATACCGCCACCATCCCTGTAAGACGTACAGACCTCAAGCAATCTTAACCCCTCCCTAAATCCAGTCAGCCCTAAACCCTAAACACTCTAGAAACTAGAAGAGTTTCTAGGGCTTTTGTCAGGCTTCGTTGGGTCTTATAGGGCTTTACATAAAGCTTTGCTATGAGCTGTATGCGCCGAAACAGGCCGTTGCAACGGTCTAGCATATGGTTGAAGAACAGGTCTAGAAGGATTTCTAGTTCAAGATGGCCGCTCGCGTTAATCTGCTGTCGTCCTCACTTCAGCATCGCCAGAAGTGGCTTTGCGGCCGCCCAAACTTATTTAAGCCCCGAACCCATGGGTGCACTGGTCTATCGCAAATTTCGAAAGAATTATGTTCACGTCTTTATTCCATGAAACCAGCCGAACTTTTTCTGGTCGCTTTCTCGCCTCCGTCGACATCAGCGGCCGATGACAGCTGCAAGGACCCCGACTTACTGGCATGCATAGCTGGTTTGGATGTGTTGGTAATTGAATACATCATCAACTGCACGTCTTTGCAGGGCGAGTTGCTGTCAATCAGACGCATGACCCAAGTGACTCACCAAGCAGCTCTCTGCCCGGGAAAACAGTATCAAGAGCTTGCTGGTAGCTGCGCTTTTTCGACCTAGTTGGTAGGATGCAGGAACATGCGTGGAACATGGAAGCGCACCTTCTGTCTGCTGCCGAAGCTCATGATTTTGCGTGTCGACACGGCATTGATCTGACGGGATCACGCAAAGAGGTGCTAAATGCCGTCACAAAAGCTGTCAGTGCCATGCCATTCCACAACCTCAATCTTTTGGCGACAAGTCCTGGCGATCGCAAGCCGCCCACTGCCCAAGAGGTGAAGGCGTCCATGCTGCGAGGGCAGGGCGGTCTGTGCTTTGTGAAGCAGCCCTTCGTTGGGCATTTCTTGCAGGCACTGGGATATGCGGTTGAAGTTCTGCCTGGTGCCGTGGCTCATCCTGGAAACCACGTCCTAATAGTGGTCCATGATGTGGAGGAGGAGGGTGACCGCTACTTGGTCGAAGCTGGCTGTGGCTTCCCCTCTTTTGAGGCTGTTCGCATCGATGACCGTAGCCATGGAGGCTTTGAACAGATCTTCCAGGACTCTTTCCTCGAGTTCCGCTACGTGAAGAATCCGGGAGAGAGCCTCATCCGCCGGGAGCATCGGACTGGGGACCCCCCGCATCGGCCTCTCATGCCAGACTCCTTGGGTAGGGCAGCGGAAGTCGATGGCTGGCGGCGTTTCTTGGCGTTCTTCTGTTTGGCTCTCAGGACTTTAGCTGTTCTTGGGTTTCTAGATTGACTATAATAAGGAGGCCAAAAAAATTGTAAGTTTCAGGAGGGGTTCAGAAGCCAGCCAAGGTTTCTTTGATTTCTTTTACCCTGCATCGGGAAGCGGTGTTTCCGAGGAGCTCTTGCAGGGCATTCGGGATGTTTGCACGCTCCCAGAGGTCTCGCCATTCTTGACGAGCCTTCGTGCCGTGCGATGGGTCAAGGGCAGAATGATTGCAATCAAGGATGCGAAACTGCTTGAGGAGGACCAAGATGGGAAAATTCTTTCCACCCAACTGCAGGATGCAGAGGGCATCCGCAAGAAGCTCGCCCTGCATTTTCCGGAGATTGAACGCGAGCTGCTTGACGCAGCCCTGGCATACTGGCACTGCCATATACATGTGCCCCGGGCCACGGCATAGCAGAGCCCTAGGGAATAGCGCCCCTCGTTGGTTCTCAGCGACTTTGCCAGCATACCAGTGGCGTACAAGTAGCAGCCGAGCAACTCTTTTAAGAACTTTTGAAGGAAAAGCTAGTGAAGCTGGCTGGGCACACCATGCCATGACGCATACGCCCCGACAAGACCTTTTGCATCAAGTACACTACGGATCCAAGGGGTGCAAGTAAACTAATTGAGGTCATAGGCTCATAAGTGATTAATGAAAGGCCCAAATACTGAGTTCCCTAATCCGCAAAGAAAGCTACCGGCCAGATTCCGCACAGACTTTTCACACTGGCAACAGGAGAGTAAGGGGACCTAGGCAGAAGTGGTTCTCACGAACAAGTTTTGGAATCGTACGAGTCGCGCCCCTTTACTCTGTCTGCCACTACATACATGCACAAGCTTGCATGGAAGAATGTGCAGTAAATTGTCATTTTTGGTCTCACAGTCATGCCGAAAGAGGCAGGAGACTATGGCAAACAAGCGACAGACGAAGCCGCCTAAAACGTAAACCCTTAACCCTGAAGCTAAGCCTAAACCCAAAGCAGCGCATGGCTCCGTCCATCGTAACTTCCGCAGGAAAACTGGGAACACTCAGAAATAGTATGCCATGATCGCCCCTCCTATTTTCAACAATACTCTAACTCCTGTTGGTATGATTTTTATCATTCATACTATCAATATTATTATTAATATTCTTGTTAAAACTTTCCATTCTTCTTATTCTTACTATTGAGGTTATCATTATTATTATTATTGTTATTATCATTCTTATACCAGATGCCACACAATTATGCTTAAGCTTGTTGCAGCTCCAACATATTAGCAACACGGACTGTTGCAGACTATGCCTCGGCAACGTTGCGGTGTGCATGGCTGTATTGGATGGTGCTTTCTGTGAACCCAGAACATGCCGCAGCGCCCTTGTTTGCAGGACACTGGTGACCACGTCATCCAGCTCTACCACAACACCGGCACCTTTGGTGGTTCTCGTAGGTCGTGCTCCACACTAAGTTGCGCAGCTCCGATTTCAACAAGTTGCACAAAGCCAAACTCGCTTCCAAACGAAGGATCCACGAAATTGAACACCCAATATCGGGGGCCGAGTAAGTGTTGAGTCCCCATCTAACTTGTACATAACGTACATAACACACTCTGTTCTAATTATTCAGGCCCCCTTTTCATGCCCTAGACCGTCACTTACGAACGGTGAGCCCTAGGCCCTGAACCGCCTCGAGCATCGGTTTAATGCTTATACCCGTATACAAGCCCCGCACAATACGTAAAGAAAGCTCCTAGAACCCTGAACCCCAAACCCTGAAGCCTACTAAACCCTCTACCCAAGCCGCCCCCCCCCTTGGAACGCATCTTGCAATCCTCCATCTTGAAATCCCCTAAACCCTAAGGCCCCTTTCTTGTAGTCCTCCCCGTTGGCAGGACCTGGCCACCGAGGGTGCGAAGGACGTGGAGTTTTTGCGGCTCTCCGACTCTCTTGGGGTTGGGGGCCCTGAGCTTCTCTGGACTATGGGGGCCAGGATTTGGGAGTTTCCGCAAATTCGGGGTATCTTTAACGGGATCCTTTTTGGGTTCCTTATTAAGGGGATCTATGGGGTTTACTTGGCACCCTAAAAGGAGCCCTGTTCCAATTATTCAGGCCCCGACGATAGAACCTTATTATAGATTCCCTTTTAGATCCCTTTAAAGGAACCCTGAAAGGAACCCTATTCTAATTATCAAGGCCCCTTTTGAAGCTTGGAGGTCAATGGGTAGCTATAAGTGGGGTTACAAGTAGGGTAACCAGAAGTAACCCAGATTAGGGGACTTATGACCCCACTTGTAACTACCCATAACCCTCCAACAGGGTTCAGGTTTATCACAAGACATGGCACATGGCGCTTTTTTGATTAAATTCCGTGTATCCCACATTATTTAGAGGTGCTCGGGCCCGCTTTGGTCTCAAGCTGAAACTTCAGGGCTTGGACAGTCGCAGGGGCTTAGGGTTCCGAGTTGGTGTTGTGGGCTTTGGGCTTAGAGTTGAGGATTTAGCGTTTGGCCTTTGCGGTGTAGCGGTCAGCACCTAGAGTTTGGGGGTTTAAGGAACCAGCATGCGCGTTCACTGTCCCTGCTCCTGCAGCGGCAGGTGTGGTATCTGTCATCGTGAAACCGGAAACGTGTCTAAAACACACAAATACACGCTCTAAATCCCTGCTCCTGCATAAACCTCCGAACTGAGTACCATAAAACCCCTAAACCGTAAACCCTAAACCCTAAACCCTAAACCCTAAACCCTAAACCCTAAACCGTGCATAAGCTTCTTGAACCCTCTTTACTGAGGTCTTGGCCTTCGCCGAAAACAGCGCCAACGACAGCGTGCCGGACTTACCGCTAATATAGTGTCATACAGTATAGTATAGTTTCTATCATATAGTATAACACAGTGTAATATCGCAAAACGCAGCAGAATACTGGTCAAAATCAGTGGAATAAAGTAGATTGCAGTATATAACGAAATATACTATAGCATAAACCTGCGAACCAACCCTAAACGTCAAGGCCGTGAACTCCCGAAGCTCTACATCCGTGAGAAACCATGAACAAGTCGATGTTGATTTGCCGTGCCGAAACGGGGATCTGTAGAAAAGAATGTCGTTTCCTTGCTATGACAACTCAGACGAAAGTCCTTAAGAAGCGCCCAGAAAGCCCAACTTATACCAGAAGCCCGAAAGTGAGACCATCATCATCCGCACACCGTTGCTATAGGAGTAAAGGCAAATCCAGCACTAGTTCCAACTTTTTGAACTTGTCAGGACGTCCCAGGTTTCGCGAGACGTCGGACGGCTGAGGTGAAAGAGGTATTGCACTATCTATACTGTACTTTTCTATATTTTACCATGTTATACTATACCATACTATATTATGCTTTAGTATACTATATTATACTTTACTTAGTATACTGTATTATACTACATTTCACTATATTACACTACATTATACTATATTATACTTTATCCTATATTATACTATATCATACTGTACTATAAAATTTTGTACTACATTATACTATGTTACACCGCATTACAATATATCATATTGTATAATACTATAGTGTACTATACTACACTATATTGTATTTTATTTCAACACATTACACTCCACTATACTAGATTATACTATGTTTTACTGTATTCTACTATATTGTACACGATATTACATTCTACTATACTGTGTTATATTACAGATTTTTGCATGACATTATGTTTCAGTATTGTATACTGTGTTATATTGTATTATACTACTTGTACATGCTATATTTCGTGATAGTTTGCTGTATTATGTAATCGTATATTACCGTATAATATCGTATAATATATCGTAGTATATTATCGTCGACCATCGCATATTCTAGTATATCATAGTTTATCACGGTATGCTATATTCTAGTTGGGCTTCGGAGGGTATTCTTGCTTGGTTGTTTGCTGGTAGCTAGATCCACCCAAGAAGTCTAGGGAAGGGTTTGTGTAGGATTCCATAGAGTGTATAAAACATTGGGGTTGGGTTCTATGGGGTTGTACAGGGCTCCTGGATCCTCAAGCGATTAGGGGAGGCCGACGGCCCGAACGCATGTTAAAACGCTTCGGGGATCTTGTGCGGAACGCTTCAAACTTCCAGCAGAATCCAAAATCGCAGATGCTACGCAGAAGGGCCACATCCCCAGAAAGCAGCAATGTCCCTACTAGCTTGGAGTCGTGACAAAGTTGAAAATCCGCACCGTAGACCTTAAACCCTCCATGTAAACCCTGAACGGACACCTATGCATCGCGCAAAACCGTTGTAAAGTCCTTGTGAAGCTTTCTAAGCCAATCAAACAAACACAACAAAAGGACAACAAGAAGCACCCCAATATCAAAAGTGGGGAAAACAAAAAAACTTTCTACAACGAGACCCGAAACAACAAGACACAGAAGCCTTTTCAAACCCTGAGCCCTAAACCCGAAACCCTACCCCTCAAACCCCGAAACCCCAAACCCCTCAATCCCTAAAGTCTTACCGCAGACTCTACGTAAACCTGTAACTAGTGACCCCAAGCCCAAAATAACCATGGTTTTAAATCCTAAACACGGCTCCTAAATCCGAAACCCTGGTTTTGAAATCCGAAACCGTGGTAGACTCCGGTTCCCAAATCCTAAACCGTGGTTCCTGAATCCTAAACTCTGGTTCCTATATCCTAAACCGTGGTTCCTGAATCCTAAACTCTGGTTCCTGAATCCTAAACCGTGGTTCCTGAATCCTAAACTCTGGTTCCTGAATTCCAAACCTTGCACCTTAAAACAAAAATCCTAAACCTTGGTTCCTCAATTCTACTTCCGAGGTCGGAGAGTGCCGCCTTTTTCTCTGGCGGCCGGCGCAGAAGCAGTTCGAGCTGCTGCAGGCTCGCCGGGTTTAGGGTCTAGTATGATTCCTTAAAGGGGCCTTGATTATGTTTGTAGCATACCATACCCCAAAACCATATTCCAACAATCATCAAGGCCCTTGTTTTCGAGCGTTAGGGTTCGTTAAGGGTTTGCTGAGGGTTGTTGCAAGTTTAGGGTTTCAGGGTTTCGTGGTTTGAGGGTCTACGGAGGCATTGTTTCAATGGCGAGGGGTTTCACCTCTTGCATTCGTTTGACTCTTCCCCATTGCGCTACAATACCATCAGTACTACCAACGATACTGACATGGGTACTATTACCACCACCACGCCGACGACGACCCTCACTACTCCTGCTACTATGATTTCGTATTAAAGCCCTAAATCGCACGTTCGGCGCTGTTGTCATGGTCATCTATGTAAAATTACACCATACTTATGTGTATGTATGTATATACACAAATATATAAAGACGAATAGACAAGTAAAAAAGCAGAGACACAGAGCTATTGGCAAGCACATAGTTAAATAGTGAAGCACGCATACTCATGTATATGTATATGTATATGTATATGTATATGTTTATGTGTATGTATATGTATATGTATATGTATATGTGTATGTGTATGTATATGTATATGTATATGTATATGTATATGTACATGTACATGTAGATGTAGATGTAGATGTAGATGTAGATGTAGATGTAGATGTCTATGTCTATGTCTATGTCTATGCCTATGTCTATGTCTATGTCTATGTCTATGTCTATGTCTATGTCTATGTATATGTATATGTATATGTGTATGTGTATGTATATGTATATGTATATGTATATGTACATGTACATGTAGATGTAGATGTAGATGTAGATGTAGATGTCTATGTCTATGTCTATGTCTATGTCTATGCCTATGTCTATGTCTATGTCTATGTCTATGTATATGTATATGTAGATGTATATGTATACGTATACGTATATGTATATGTATATGTATATGTAGGGGGATGATAGGTAGATATACAGGTCCATAGGAAGATATGTTTTGTTTTACATCTTTGAATCTGAACTTGGTCCTGTTTTCTTCCTTGGCGAAGGTGCTGGCCACCTCCGGGGCTTCGGACGTGGAGGCCTTTGAGCCGCAGAGCGGGGAGAAGGCCGCGGGAGTGCTTGGAGGATCATGGGACTTAGTAAGTGAAGTTATAAATACCTGAATTGGGGTTCTAAGTATAGTTACCCTAATTATAGCCCTAGTTACTAAGTCTCATGATCCCTTCAGTAGGGGGGGGGTAGGGGTTTAAGGTTCAGGGTTTCAGGGTTGGAGGTGTTTTAAGGTTCAGAGTTTAGGGTTTAAGGTTTAGGGTTTGAGGTTTAGGGTTTAGGGCTTATGAAGGGTCAGTGTCTATTGGGGTTGTAGAGCTGATGAAGGGGTTTAGAAGGGTCTTATAAAGGTTTTGACAGGTTACACAGGTGGTTTCTGACGGAGTTTTCCAGGTTTTTCACAACAAGTTAGAAAGAGTTTCATAGTGTTTCTAGAATTTCGCTTGGTTTGTCAAGTAGGGGTTTAAGGGAAGTCTTAGTTTTAGTGGTTTTCGTTTGGATGTTTGGATTTTAGGGCTTAGGTTTGGGAGTCTAGGAGGCGCCTAGAGAGGACTTCTTTTCGGTATATGTGTGCAGAGAGAGAGAGAGAGAGAGATACATATACATATACATATATACATATATATATATATATTAATTATTATATATATACACATATAAACATGTATGTATGTACATATGTATATGCATGTATATATGGATATACGGATAGATAGATAGATCGATAGTGAAGACGGATGTATGAGCGCCGCAGGGTTTAAGGCTTGACTGATTGGGGCTCACAGCGTTTCAGGAGTGTTCCGCAGCAAGTTGGGCGAGGCTTTGTAAGACCTCCATAGACTTCTGCCTTTCTCAACTCTCAGCGGCCAAGAACACCAGATAAGCTTCGTATAGATGGGCGCTAAAACCGCTGTCGAACTATAGAAAGAAGACGTGTCATACCCAATGAAGCCCTTACCGTTTACTATGGTTATTATGACGATGATGATGATGATGGTGATTAGTACTACCAGTCGTATTCGTATTCTTATTCTTATTCTTATTAAAGCCCTATCAAACCCGCCCGGTTCCAGGGCTTGCTCGTGGTGCACGAGGAGCTTCTGCCCATCTCCTGTTTTTCAGGGAGCTCGGGGTGTAGGGGTTCTGGGTCTCTGGGGTTCTAGGGTTCTGGGTTTCTAGGGTTTTACTTAAAGGTTCATGGGCAGTTATAAGTGGGGTTATACGTCCCCGAATATGGGTTATTATTATGGTTACCCTACTCATAACCCCCACTTATAAACACCCATGAGCCTCTAAGTAGGGTTCTGGGGTTCTAGGGTTCTAAGGTTCTGGCGCTCTAGGGTTCTACAGTTTCCCGGCTCAGGGTTTGTTGTTCTCGGGTTTAGGGCTGTAGGGCTGAGGTTTAGGTTCCCAGCGACCCAGGGATGAGGGTTGTAGGGTTTAGGGTGGGGTTCGCGGCTCAGGGTTCTGTGGCGTCGTCGTTGTTGTGGGGATGGTGGTGGTCGCGGTGACTGCCCTGCTCCAGGATATTTTGGTGATTGTAGTCTTGGTGGCGGTCGTGGTGATGGCAGGTGGCAGTGGTCGCTGGCTCTTTAGAGGTCTGCCTGATGAGCAACGGTATCCGCTAACAGTCCCTATCATAGCTACGCAATATACCTTAAGCCCGTCCGTAGAATACTTAACGGATCATGGGACATAGTAAGTAAGGTTATAAGTACCTTAATTGGGGTTATAAGTATAGCTACCCCAATTGTAACCCTAGTTACTAAGTCCCATGATCCTCCATTGTAGAACCCTTATAGATGCCTTTATAAGGATCCCTTTAAGGAGCCCTTTATGATAGAACCCTATAGTGCCCTTAAAGTAGCTGACAGTATACCTCAGTCTAGTTCCCCAGGCCCTCCCGTGGATAGTTGTCAAAATGAGGGTCCCCTTTTTGGGGGGTCCTTTTGGGGATGGTGCCGTGTTACTTTGGCGACTGCAAGAAATCCTAAACCCTACACCCTAAATTCTAAAACCCTAAACCCTAAACCCTAGACCCTAAACCCTAAGCCCTAAACCCTAACCCCTAAAACCCTAGACCCTAAACCCTAATTTCTTCAGAGAACTCCCCACGTGAGCGACGGCAGCAGCGGTAAAGTCGGGGGTCTCCTGACAGGAGGACACCGAAGCCGCGGCCTCGGGCTTTCGCCTTAAACGGGTTTTGGTCGGGTTTTCTCGGGTTTGAGGTTTAGGGGCTGGGGTTCTAGGGTTTGGGGGGTTTAGGGTTTCGGGCTTAGGGTTTTTGGGATTTCAGGGCTTTAGGGTTTTTTTGGGGGTTCAGGGCTGCCTTTCTAAGGGTTTCCCTTTGTCTGGGGGGGCCTGCGGGGTTTTGGTGTTTTGGTTTTGTCAGGCTTCGGGGCAACTTCTGCATCCTTACGCCCCCCGAAGCCCTAACAATCAAGCCGTAAAACCCCTAAAACCCGAGCCCTGAACCCCTAAACCCCAATGCGAAACGCCTGTTAGCCCGAAAGATACGGAAAATTAAGCTCTCCATTCCTAAACCCCTTTGTCTTGACAAGGGAGGGTTGGTCAGAATCATGCGATATCTGCTACAAACATGATGTAAAATTAGTTTAAACCCCGAAAGCCTGAACTGGCCCTAAGAATTTAGAAGGTAACGTGCATACTGTGTGAATTTTTATATAGTCACAGAGGGACGTGTAGTACAAAGGAAAGGAAACACCATGATTTTTATTGATCCCGAATACTTCCCTAAACCATCAGAGCGTACTACCTCCAAACCGCGATGTCTCGGAGCCCTGGGTCCTGTAAACAGGGTGTCGGGTGGCACTTTGGGAAACGGAGTAATCGAGCAGGTAATCTTTAACCTTTCGTACGTAGTTTCGAAGGCCAACCTTTAGTTCCACTAGGTTACTGGACAAGTAAGATTTCAACCAGGACCTTTTATAGGTAAACTGAGGAGTTTAAGTTACAAACTCGCTTTTGGTTTAGAGTTAAAGGAACCCGCAATGCCCATTCTGAAAGCTCAAAGACATCTCAGTCTTGAAATTCCTGAATTTTGGGATTCCCCTGGCCCACCGAAAGGGCTTCAACAGTTACCGTTACTTCTTTTGGGTGCCTTATTATATTAGTGTAATATACCACCCAAGACCTATTCTAGTTCTAATGATCAAGGCCCCTATATTGAGCCCTTGAAGGAACCCTTTTAAATGAGCTCTTAAACCCGTAGCCCCAGGACAGCTCCTTATTATGACTTCAGTTCAATACACCCTGCTCCAAAACCTATTCTAATTATTATAAACCCTTATACTCAGCAACCCTTGTAGACCCCCTTCAAAAGGAACTTCACCATAAGTACAGCATAATTATTGAGGCCCCAACCTTTTTCGATCCCCCTGAAAAGGAACCTCACTGCAATTATAGTATAAATATCGAGGCCCCTACAGTAACGTAGCAACTTTTTTAGATCCCGTTGAAAAGGAACCTTACCATAAACATCGTAAAATTATTGAGGCCCAACGAGCCCCCTGGTACGACTCGTCTGAGGTTTACCTGGCGGACTGGGAAGGGGAGGACGTCCGAGGCCAGCTGTTCAAGAGGGTTCAGGCAGCTATGGGTTTAGGGTTTTGGGTTTGGGGTTCACGGGTTCAGGTAATTTAGGGTCAGGGTTTAGGGGTTCAGGTAAGGTAGTTATGGTATAGTAAACCCTAAGCCCTAAGTGCGTGAAGCATGGCTGTCGCTCAGGTCGGAACGTCGTTGCACAACCGAGGCTGTCTTTTGTTCGAAAAAATCGAGGCGCGATCCGAGGGTCAAGGGTTTAGACTTAGGCTGCCTAAGCTCCCTGGTCCCCTTAGGGTTCTGTAAATCACGTAGGTTATCAGCCGTAGGTCGGTTCTAGGGCTGTGAGCTGTTAGATAGGCCTATTCTTAAGGGTGTCAAGTACTCTGTGGTAGTGCTGTGACGCCATGGATCCGTTTATCCGGCAAAGAAGGAGTCCCCAGAGTGGGGATGTGGGCGTTCCCACGGGAACTTCTGAGCCAGATTACCAGGCAGCCTTGAGTCAGGAGGACAGTGAGCAACCTTCTGCATCTGTACGCTTTGGAGAAATGTCTCCGGGCACACTGGAGCAGGGCGGTGTATCGGTTGAAATGGAGGTTCCAACAAGCCGGTTGGCCGCGAGTCCTTTCCACTCTGACAAAGTGAAATCAGAAATTGAGCTCCTCAATTCGAGACCGGCCACACTTGACAATGACGGAAGGCGTGCCGGAATTGAATTCGATGAAGCTGCTTTGGGTGACTTGGGTTTCTCGAGCGCAGGTAGGGAACCGGACTATTCAATTACTGGTCCGGGACTTTGTGATGGAGTTCCTAGGCTGGCCAGAGTCGAGATGACCGGGGAGCCTACAGCTGTAAGGCATGCCGCAGATGAGGAACTAAAGCCGAGCGTTTCTGATTTTGATGGGGCGAAGCCAGGCGGTGGTCGGCCTAATCAGCCTGCTGTTGAACCAGAGGCTGGACGTGGCTGGGAAGCGACTGGGAAGGGTCGTGGTACAAATCCTGGAGACGGGGCTGGACCTGCAAACACCTTTTCTGGTGAGCAACCTCAGGCTTCGGACGCTCGAGAGCTTATTCCTGATCAGGGTCTTTCCAGGGTGGAACAGATGATGTTGCGGGTTATGCAGGAGAATGCGGTCCTTCGGCAGAGACTGGAAGCAGTGGAGTCTCAGTCAAGTGGTTTAAGCGGCGGAACTTGTGTTACCGCTTTGGAAACACAGGTCAACTCTCCTATGTCTTTCGCTGGGAATGTACAGAGTTGCGTGGCTGTGCAGCGTGAGAATCGTCTTGTACAGTTGCCAAGCGCATTTCCAGGCACCGATTTCCAAGGTTCTGATGTGCATGGAGGTTGGTTTGAGGGTCGTAATGCTGCTCAGCCTCCTGGCATGTGTCCGCCGCCTTGTGGAGCGGGGTGTAGAAGTACTACTGGAAATGATGGTTTAGTCCAAGGGCTTGGGTCTAGGAAGTTAGGATCTGGAGTTTCGGGGCCGTGTGGATTCGGGATTAAACCGCCACCTCCTTTGCCTATCAGTATGACTGACCGAGTTGCTGGTGAAGGGGATGTAAGTTGGGGAACAGGGACTCAGTCACTAAGACAGTTTGCTTCAGCGGCTTTGGCATCCAGGGATGTTCAAGAGGAATCCGGTTATCATACACCTAGGTCCGTAGGGGCTCCGGGTCTAGCTGGTTTTAGTCCTGAAGGATATCCTTTGTCACCGGGTGGTACTGTCATCAGACCTCCGCCGGGGCCCCCTCCAACCCCTCCTCAGAGGATCCAGGCTTGTGGGCAAGGGCATATTGGAGCTGATGTTGCATATCCGAGGGGCGCGTATCCGACCCAGGGTCCGACACTCGCGTGTGGTGGGCCGTATTTTGGTACAACAGAGTTTGGGCAGTTTGATAGCGTTGATGGCTCTAGATTTGGGAGTGGGTTGCGAAATCAGGGTGTCTCAGGGTTTTCTTCAGAAGTTCCTTGTTCGGGTACTCAAAAGGGTCTCCCTGAGGAACCTGCAAAGTACATTGTGGACCTCCCTAAACTAGCGGCTCCTGATTTAACGAGCAGTGCGGTTACTTGTGGTAACTGGCTGGCGCAGACGCGTCAGGTCTTTGCCGGTTTGTCGGCTTCAGCTTCCGTGTGGTTCGAGTCAGTTGAAAGTGCGTCTAACGCTAGTTACCAGCGTTGGTTAGTCGCTGATCCGTTGGAGAGGCTGGCTTTGGATCCGTCTACGGTTGTTGCGAGCTATGACCTGTATAAGTATCAGAGAGTGGAATCTAGGGCGGTGTCCTTGCTGTTGTCTTGCGTGCCCCCCAACCTTAAGGAGGAGCTTATCACCAACCGTTGGATGAGTAGTGCTGCCATTCTTTATCGTATTCTCTGCGTTTATCAGCCTGGAGGATCCATGGAACGCGGGTTTCTCCTCTCTAGGTTGGTTCAGCCTGAGTCTTGCCGGACTTATAAGGACGCGATTGTATGCTTGAGAAGATGGCAACAGGATCTTATTCGTGCACGGGAGGTGCAGGCGACTTTGCCCGACCCGAGTCTGCTCCTGAAGGGAATAGACGCTGCTACAGGTTCACTTTTGAACCTTCAGCCAATGGTGGCATTCAGAATAAGCGCATTCAGACATAAGAGTTCCATCGATTATAACCCGTCTGTCTCGGGTGTCATACAACTTGTGAAACTCATACAGGCCGAATGTGAGTCCATGGCTATGACTGTTGAGTCTCCCCCTGATAAAAAAGCTAGGGCTGCTGCTGCCGCTGCTGCTGCTGCCAAGACTTCTGAACCCAAACCTCCCAGCGTACCTGCGCCTTCTCAGACGCCGTGCCCGACTGTGGCAGTGGTAAGTGGGGAAGGGGATGCTGGCAAGGGGAAGGGTAAGTCTTCTAAGGGTTCTGGCGGTACGGTTGAGTGTTACAAGTTTGCGGATGGCACGGGATGTCGTTTTGGGGATAGCTGCACGTTTAAGCACGATAGGGCTAAGGCTAGAAAGCAAGGTAGATGTTTGGCTTGCGGCCAGAGTGGCCATTATCGGCCGGATTGTCCGGTTGTTCCTGCTGAGCTTAGACCGGTTTCGCCAGAGGGTGGTTCTCCGAGTGCGAAAAGCCCCCCTAGTCCCAAGAAGCCGGAGGCGAAGCCTAAGCCGAAGTCGCATCCTCAAGCCAAGGGCGTGACTGAGGAGACACCTTCTGGGGGTTCTGGTGCTAGGAATTCTGAGGGTTCTGGAGCTCCTAATTCCTCGAGCTCCAAGGAAGCCTTGTTTGCAGAAGCGGCAAAGCTTTTGCAGGGTGCGAGTGCGAAGGCGGTCCGAATAGGGGATTGGAGCATCGATGAGGCTTGGCTCTGCAGCGCTATATGCGCGTCTAGTCACGAGTACGCTTTGATCGACTCCGGTGCTACTAATGCCTTGAGGTTTGCTAGGGCTGAAGAGCTTAAGGAGGCTAGGTCCATCCGTGTCGATCTGGCGTCGGGTGTTACCGAGCTTCATGTGAACGAGCACGGGACTTTGTTGAGCCCGGTTGATTGCCAGCTTATATTGCCCGCGGGATACCTAGTTTATATGGGATACCGTATTTCTTGGGGAAAGAAGGGTTGTAGGGTTCGGCATCCTAAATTTGGGGACCTTGATGTGTCTGTGGTTAAGGGTTGTCCTCTTATACCCAAGGAGCTTGGGATGCGGCTACTTGATCAGTATGAAAGGTGTAGGGCAGGGGCTTGCTCCGTGAAGGGGCTGGATTGCCCTGCTGCGGGAAACCGCTTAGCGTAGAGGATGTACGGCCATGGTTGCGGGATCAGCTTCGGGAATCGACTTCTGGGTTGATCGATCGGGTTACTCAGATGAGCTTTTTGAAGGGTATGTTTCCTGAGATTTCGGACTTGGTTCTAGAAAGGGCTATAGTAGATCCGGAAGATCCTTTTGTCGGTTGTCAGGGTGTGACCCCTTGGAATCGAAGGCTTAGGAGGAGTGTTGCCCGTGAAAAGCAAGGGTCTGTACTTCTTCGCATTGGTGCCGTTGGCGCTAAGTGGAAGGGGCCTGGTCGGGTCGTTGAGCTTAGAAGGGATTTCGGTAGCGACCTGGGTATAGCATCGGTCTATCTGCAGGTTCTCAAGTGGGCTCAGTCTGGGGTTCTTGGGGGAATTGTGGTTGCTTCTGACTTTGAGGGGTTTGAGCCTAGCGGTAATCGGCTTCACTCTGCCACTGTTGGGGTTGAGAGTAAACCAGAGATTCCGTCTGGAAGTGCAAGTGACGCGATGCTGCGACAGCAGGTGTCGTGGTTCCGGTTATGCCTTGTGTACATGGTGGCGCAAGCAGCTGCGGATAGTGCAGATTCTCAGGTTAGTGAGCTGTGTGAGCCGGCTATCGCATGTGAGGAGGGCTCTGATAAGCCCCCGTTAGGACTTGAAGACCCTCATGAGATAGCCTTGTGGGCTTTGCGAAGGGCTGCTGTCAAGTTACAGATGTCTGTGGAACCAGATTCAAGTGAGTATCAGGGCAAGCTACCAATTGCGGAGTGTCCACCGGTTCAGAAGGGCGCTTGCTCTACTAGGGCTGTTTTCATTGTCCTTGAGGGGCCTGATGATGAGGGACCTAAGGGTGGTGATCTAAAGAGGCTTCGTGAGGTATATGGTTTGTACCGCGTGTCCTTTGATCAGGGTTGCCTGGGAAGCCTCGCAAGGGATTCCACTGTCCTGTTGACATCCTCGTGGGATTTGTTTGAAAGTCTTGAGGCCCTGAAGGTTCCAGAATATGTTCAGATGCCGGATTTCTTTGAGGTTGATGGAAGCCGCGTATGGTCTCCGGGTTTGTCGGGGTGCGTTCAAAGGGTGTGGGACATAAGCCGAAACTGTAGGCTTGAGGTTGCAGACTTAACCGAGCGCAAGGCTTTGCTGGCAAAGCTAACTGAGGAAGAGAGTCTTCGTAGGCATAGGGCTAATGATCATATTCCTTTTAGGAAAGGTTGTGCCGATTGCATAGCAGCGCAGGGTCGCCAGCGAAGTCACTGGCGTTCTCAGGTGACTACGGTGTACTCTTTGAGTGTAGACATTGCGGGACCGTTCAAAGAGGGTCGCAGCTTTGATCCAATTTCCTCCGGACGGGATCGTGGGCGCGGCTACAAATACTTTATTGCTGCGGCATACTCGGTACCGTTGAATCCTGAACTGCGGCCTGTGTTGCATCCGTCTGAAGACCTTGATGAGTATTCTCCTTCGGAGTGTGAACCGGAGATTGGGAGCGCTGGGCCTATACCTGCTGAGATTTCTGAGGACTTTGATGAGTTGTTGGATAGATTGGATAGGCAGGCCACCGGGGGTTTCTCTAGTAAGGTTCTGTTTCGTCGGGTAAAAGGGAAAGGGCTCCCTAAGATAGACCCCTTGCTTGAAGAAGCGGAGTTTGCCCAAGCGGGAGAGCTCGAAGGTGCGTCGTCGAACGCTGATGCTGAAAGGGTTAAGACTGAGTCGAAGGTTGTTACAAAAACCCTCTTTCTAGGACTTCCTTTGCGTTCTAAGCGCGGTTCCGAGGTTATGGGACAAGTCCAAGCATTGGTTAATAGGCTAGAGTCCTTCGGTTATCCTGTCCACCGCTACTTTGCTGATCGTGCTAAAGAGCTGAGGAGCCATTCGTTAATCCAGTGGTTTCGGGAACGTGGTGTGCATGCTTCTTTCACAGCTGGTGAAGATCCGGCTGGCAATAAAGCAGAAGTTGGAGTCCAGCACCTGAAACAGGATGCCAGGAAACTTCTCCGTGTGGCAGATCTGCCCACGGAGTTTTGGCCTTTTGCAGTTCTTCACGTCTCGCAGCGTAATTTTGTGCAATTGGCTGAAGCCTTGGGAGTTGGACAGGCTGTGCTTTTGCCCTTTGGGACGTTGCTGCATGCGCGTAAGCGTTTAAAGACGGGTCATAAGAAGCACTGGGAAGCGAGAACGGTTCCAGGCAAGTACCTTGGTGTTGCTACTGATTGTGCTGGGGGACACTTGGTCTTGATTCAGGATGGTTCGGAGCAGCGTGTTTTACTTACCAATACGGTTTATCCTGTTGACGGCTCCACTGTCCCTAAACCTAAATTCCGCTTAACTTCGAAAACCTCGCCGGGTTTCGCTGTTCGGGCTGTAATCGCCAAAAGCAATCGCTGGCCGATGCGCCGGTCTTCTACTGCCAGGTCTGTACCTGGGGGGGAGTGCATTGGGTTTTCTGAGTGCAGCGGGTTTTTTAAAGATTTCGATTCATTTCAGGGGCATGGGGTTGAGATTGAGCAGCCTGAGTTTGGTTTTGAGCCCGAGCCCCCTTCCTCCGGAGAGGAAGCTTCTGACTGTGATTTTGGTGTAATCTCCGACGAGGAGGGTTCAAGCGAACTTTGCATCGATGGTGCGACCGTGAAGATTCTCTCAGGGGTGTCTGGTACTTGGTTGACAGATAAATTAGAAGCTGGGGTGTTTAGCACTGAAGAGGCTTTGGAGGTGCTTAGAAGATGTGCCGATAAGCTTCAACCTCCAAATCGAAAGGTGATGGGAGGAAAAGGCCGGAGTGCTGTAATGGGGTTGTATAATCAGGGTGGTTTTAATGGGGTGTCGAGGTTTGCCAAGGATAATGGTGATTTGGTGCGATACCTGAACAAGTTCGTTCGGGCTCAGGGCTGCGAACATCCGTATACTACTCTGTATCTCTCCCGTGATGCTTCTACTCCTCTACATCAGGATGCCAGGAACGAGAGAATTGTGCCGGTTTGGGTTATCGCTCTTGGGGAGTTTCAAGGTGGTGGCCTGTGGGTAGAGGGTTCCGAAGGCCAGGGTCCTGTTTTGAGACAGTTGCCGGGTGGTGACGTAAGGGCAGGCTTTGTAAGGGACATTCATGATAACCCGTATGTCTTTAGCGGTCAGCTATGGCATTGTGCCGAACCTTGGTGCGGCAAGGACAGATGGGTAATTGCTGCTTATGCTCCTCGGGGTGCGGGAAAGATCCTTGATAAGTACATTCACGAGCTTGAGGGTTTGGGGTTTAGTTCTGAAGGCCTTGAACGCTTTTTCGATGGTGAGTGTGCTTCGATTTCAAAGTTTAAGGATGGGCATTGTCGCTACAGATGATGCGGAGTTAGGTTGCGATGTGGAGCGTGAAGGTGCTCAGTGCTTGACCCCTGAGGTGTCCTGGGAGGTTGAGTTTCCACGTGAGGTTTTGAAACCCGGTTGGCGTGAGCATGCTTTGAGAAATCACCTGACTTCGGCCATTACGTGTAAGGCCCTCTCCAAAGAAATTAGTAGTTCTGGGGACGACGGGGTCGTCTGTGAATTGTTTAGGACTTTGAAGTCAGTAGAGTGTCAGCGCGATTGGTACGAGGGCCTTTTGTGGGATGACTTTGTGCAGAATTCCGGGAGTATGTTGAAGGCCTTGAATCGAGATGTTCCGTTGAACCCGGGGGACCAAGCGAGCCCTGCTGAAGTTTTTCTTCAAACTCGAACCGTAAGCTTAGCGGAGGCAAAGGGCGAGTTGACGCTATGGATTCCTTCAGCAAATGAAGAAGTGGTTTCTTTGGAGCAGACCAATGAGGCTGTAGAGCGCATTGTCGTGGCAGACATTGAGCGGTTGATCCAGGAAGGAAGAAAGGTCACCCAGGTTCCAGGAAAGGCTGTCCTAACGAGGAAGGCTGGCGTTGGTAAGCGTCGGTTCAGGTGTGTGGCGTGTGGGAATTATATCCCCACTGGCTCTCCGGACTCCAACAACCTGTATGCGAGTGGGGTAGAAAGCTTGACGGTGAGAACTGCCATAAGCTACGCTGCCTATCGGGATTGGTCTGCCTTGAGTGCTGATATACGGACAGCTTTCCTTCACGCGCCGCTAGATGGGGAATTGGAAGCAGAAGAGGTAATTATAGTTAGGCCACCATCCATCCTCGTTGAAATGAAAATCCTTTTGCCCAACCATCGTTGGCGTGTGCGGAAGGCACTCTACGGCTTGAGACAAGCTCCGTTGGCATGGGCCCGGTTTCGGGATAAATCATTGCGAACTTTGACCTTTCAGTGTGATGGTACATGGTACGCGTTGCAGCAGGGTATAAGTGATGATTCGCTCTGGTTTATTGTCAAACGTGAGACCGCCGAGAATGACACAGGACGTTGGCATGGTATCTTGATAATTTACGTCGACGACCTTTTGGGTTTTTCTACATCGCCGATTCTTAGTGCTCTCTTTGATGAGATTCAGAAGTTGTGGAAGCTTTCTGATCCAGAGTGGATTCGAGAGGAAGCGGCCACGAAGTTCTGCGGGCTAGAGATCCAGGCTCTTAAGGGAGGAGGGTTTCGCATATCCCAAGTTTCTTATCTTCAGGAGCTTTTCGCGAGATACGATATCACAAGCAGTGCGAGCGCGCCTCTTAGCCATTGGGCTGATCCGGAAGACGAACAGCAGGTGCAGCTGGAGACTATTCGGAATGCACAGGCCATGACCGGAGCACTTTTGTGGGCTTCGTCGAAATCCAGGCCCGATGTGGCTTTTGCTGTTAGTAAGCTTGGTCAGTTCGCCGTGAAAGCGCCTAGTCTTGTGATTGAGAGCGCGTATCAGGTGTTGCGATATCTGTATGGTACTGCAGATTTATGGCTTGAATACCAGAAACCAGGAGACAATTCCTGGGTCGATACACCTGTTCCGCGTACCTTGAATACTCTTGAGTTGTACAGCGACGCTTCGCACGCTCCAGGTGGTGGACGCTCTTGTCAAGCGATTGTCATCCTATGGGGAGGCAATGTTATCTGTTGGGAATCCAGTCGTCAGCCCTTCGTGACTCTGTCGTCGGCAGAGGCAGAGTTAGTTGCTCTCACTACTGGATTCGTTGCTGCAGAGTCCGTTGGCGGCATCATCGAGGAGATGACGGAGTCCGACATAACCATCTCAGCATTATGCGACAACCAAGCTGCTGCTCGTTCCTTCTCTATTGGAAGCCAAGGCTGGCGTAATCGCCACCTTAGAATGCGCGCTGCCAGTGGCAGAGAGCGCATCGAACTTGGATCCCTGGTTGTGACCTACGTTCCAGGATCGATTCAACTGGCCGACATTGCCACGAAGGCCTTAGCCCGAACGAGGATTCTTGAACTTGCCGAACTTATGAATATGCGGTCGAGACTTTTGCAAACCAGCGCTGATGATTCGATTCGTGTAGTCAGTAGGTTGTCCTTGAGCTTTGACTCCTCAGGAGCTGTTTCCCCTCGCACGCTAGCAGGACTTGCGCTAGTTGCCGTGTTATCCGGAGCGGAGGCTCAACCTAGCTCGCCGGTTGATGAAAGACTGGGATGGGCGTTGTGGGCTTTGGGTTTTATGATCGGTCTGATCTTGGTTGCTTGGGCTCAGTGGTTCTTTGACTTCGGTCTTGGAGGGTTTGGGAATGGAGAACAGCCGCAGACCGCTGCTGGCCAAACCGTCGGTTTAGAGACTTCTGAGGCGTCTGCTGAGGTCCCACGGGATGCTGAGGTTTTTCAGGGCTTGAACGAGGCTGCTCAGAGTGGTTCCGAAGGTGCTGAATCTGATCAGTTTTCCGAAGCTGAATGGCTTAAGGCACAACGCAAACTCCAGGATCAAGAGATAAAAACAGGACTCACTTTCATTCAGCGTGTTCGGTTGAGAAGGCAAATAGCGGCTGGAGGTTTAGTCGAGCCACCTGTTATGATGGAGCGCTTTGGATCCCTCCCTGACTGGATGACTAGTGCTGAACAGCAACCTTTGCCCCTTTCGAATCACCAGGTAGGTGGGAGTTCAGGCAGCGGCGATGTTCCTGTTGGGATGCCTGTAGCTGTTTGGAGTTTATCTGTTGGGGACTTCGTTTTCTGTTCTAGGTTCCTGGTTGTATTTTTGGGTAGCCAGGCAAGGGAGTGGCATTGTATGCGGGGTGTTGCTAGGGCCTACAGACGAAGCGCGGTCTTGTGTGTGATCTGTGGATTACAAGATACTGGCGCTGCTCAGGCAAATGAGACTGGTGTTCCGTTTCATGCGACGTATCAATGGGATCAAGTAGAGGGTGGTTTTCGGTGGGTTCCGCTAGAGTTTGAGGTTGGTGATGAGCCGTCACAAGAACCAAGCTCTGGAGCTGCTGAACTTGCAGTTTCGCCACTTGATTACGAAGATCTGTTTGAGCATGAGGCGAATCCTGTGTTTCCTTACGTTGGGGATTTTGTTCATAGGCATTTTTTGATTGTTTTACTTTCTGTTGAGGGTGGTCGTATTCTTGATTGGTTTGAGGGTGGTGATGTTGCAAAGTGGCTGATTTGTTCCAACTTCTGCCGTGTAGCGATTGTGTGCGCAGCTGCTGAACGACGAAGGCTGCTACCGGGAGGAATCATCTACGAGGGTTATGATGGCCTCATGTTAGTGCAGGAGGCTATTTTAAGTGGTGCCGCTGGGAACAGTGGCAGTCAGCAGTTTCCTCCATGTCCAAATGTGCAGATTGGGGGGAGCAGCAGCAGTCAGCAGTTTCCTCCATGTCCAAATGTGCAGATTGGGGGGAGCAGCAGCAGTCAACAGTTTCCTCCATGTCCAAATGTGCAGATTGGGGGGAGCAGCAGTAGTCAGCAGATTCCTGAGCCATTTGATGCTGCGTTTGCTTATCTACAAGGTGATGTTGAAGAACCTCCTGCCATCCCGAATCCTTTTGACCTTGAGGACGACCCCACGATCGATGATAGGCCCCATAGAGACTTTAGGCCCCAGTCTCCTAGAATAGTACCAATCTTTTATGAGGCAGGTTGGTCCTCCTCTGAAAGCGGGGATTCTACAACCGAGCCATCGGTAGACTCTGTGTCAAGCAGCGACGCTGCCGTGAGTGAAGACGTGTGGGTTATTCGTGACGCTGATGCGAGGATGCAGCAGGTCGTTGAACCGCAAGCGTTAGGAGCGAATTTCCATGCTGAAGAAGGGGTACTTATAGGGACGTTTGTCGATGACGAGGTTACGATTCCTTTTCAGGGTTGGTCACAGGCCGAGGTCGAGACCATTGTTACAGGGTTGAATGAAGGGGATTGGGCTTCGTATCATGCGATGATGGCACAGACTGGTGATCAAGGAAGTCAGACAACGCTTCAGGTTCCAAGTTCGCAAGGAGCTGGATGGGTTGTCAGTGTCGGTGTTGCCCTAGGTCTAGTTGGGGTACTCGTTCAGTGGTGGAGCGTTGTACTTGGGGTTTGTTGGGCTCTTTTGCTTTGGCATAGGAGTAGAGGGGGTTATGTGAGGACGTTTGTAGCTGTTTGGGGTGTGCTGCCTAGAGGGGATAACCGTTGGGTTGTATTCCTGTATGCCCTTTGGTTGTTGCTTGGGGGTGTCCTTCCTAGCTCTGCAGAGGTTGTAACAAGTTATGATGGTCCAGTTTCCTTCGGAGAGGGACTTGCTGGTGGCTCGCAAGGAGCTGGCGGTATGTGTCTTGAGGATGAGCGAGGGTCCAGCGCAGGCCATGAAGAGAGCTGGAGTCTGTGGCTGTTTGCAGTTGGCGTGGTAGGAATCTGGGAAATCGGACGTGCCTTGTTTCTCTGTGTGTGCAGAAACAGAAAGACAGTGCGGGATCAGGCAGTAAGCGCCGAGACGGTGCCGTGGCCGTTACATCCGGGTATCCCTCACCGTGCGAATATCCTGTATTGCTACTGGCGAGCAGGGTATGCTTTTAACATTGAAGAGTATCCTGAAGGAGTTCAATCGAGATTCTATAGTCTCCTAGGCTCTCATCTTGTAAGGCGTGATCGGGACGACTTGTCTTCAACAGATTCGTCTGGTTGAGCTGCTTTTGGATATTCTGAATAAGATTCGCGGTGTCCGAAGTTGTGGATGCTGGCAACTGCCAAATCAAGGAGACTGAAGCTATGGCATGGCATCTCCAGAATAACTGGGCTTTTAATCCTCATGATGCTAAGTCTTGTGAGGGGTGTAGGATCTTTGCTATGGATTCGGTCTCTGTCAACGTTTGTGGATGCCTCTTGATCCGAGTACGAACTGCTCTGAAGGAGCAGGGCTAACAAACTTGCCGTTCGGAATGGGGTCATGACTTTGTACAACGAGGCTTTTGTCCACTTTTGCAGCTGAAGACGAGTCCTTTGAGCATGCCACTTTAAAATGCTGCCATTTTCCACGGGACGTGCTCCAATCACCTGAGTTAAGTCTCAGGTGAGGGGGAGTGCGTGAAGCATGGCTGTCGCTCAGGTCGGAACGTCGTTGCACAACCGAGGCTGTCTTTTGTTCGAAAAAATCGAGGCGCGATCCGAGGGTCAAGGGTTTAGACTTAGGCTGCCTAAGCTCCCTGGTCCCCTTAGGGTTCTGTAAATCACGTACTAAGCCCTAAACCTATTGGGGGCTACAGGGAACATTATCACAAATTTTTCGGCTGATTCCAGTGAATACGCGACTTAGTAGGCAGGGTTATGGGCACAAAACTGTGGAAAGTCTTACAAGCCGAATATAGCGGCTTTCATAATTGGGTATACTATTTTGGTTTTCCTTATATTATACTAACAGTATCATAGACTCCAAAACCCTATTCCAATTATTAAGGCCACAACATTACTTGCGCAGTCCCTCTTTTTCTAGGAAACTCTCTGCTGTTGCTCACTGCCGGGGTCCGGCAGGCCCGTAATAATGGATAATGGACAATAGTTCACCGTACACACGAATAAGTAAGGAAGACTGCAGGTTAAGGAATTCGCGGTAAGCATGAAACTAGTAACTTGGAATGAATAATAGATAGTATGATCAACGGGTCCACATTTTGAGGGTGCCTCATTCTCGAAGAAGCATAATACACCCGAAAACACCCCATTCTAACTATGAAGGCCCTTAATTGTATTATAGAACCCTATTATAGAACCCTTATGGAGCCCTGCAAGAGCGCTTGAAGGAAGCCTTTTCTAGCTACTAAGGCCCCTATATGGGAGTTTCCCGAAATTAGGGGACCCTAACATAGTACTCTGAATAGTAGGATCCTCATTATAAGGACCCCAACACAAGGTACCCCCTAATTTTCGTAAATTCCCCAAACCTTCAACCCTTTATAGAAGCCGTTTTTGATCCCCTTAAGGAACCTTGATAGGGTCCCTTTAGAGGTACCCCCTTAGTTTTCGTAAGCTCCTTTCTTCCACACTTCCCTGACCCTCAGCCCCGGGAGCTCCTGAGAGCCATGGAAACCCTGGGAGCTCTTTGGGTTTCGGGTTTATGGTTCGGGGTTATAAGTACAGTTACCTCAATTATAACCCTAGTTACTAAGTCCCATGATCCTTTAAGTACGAGCTCTTAGGGTTTCGGGTTTAAGGTTCGGGGGTTTAGGGTTTAGGAGCTCCTTGGGTTTTAGTTCCTTTAAAGGCGCTTTAAGGGTTCTATAATAAAGGGCTCCTTAAAGGGATCCTTAAAGGGATCTATAAGGGTTCTATAATGGGGTTTATGGTTTGGGGGGTTTAGGGTAGGGTTTAGGGTTTAGGGTCTACTTGCAGGATCATGGGGCTTAGTAGTTCCTTTAAGGGTACTATAGGGTTCTATAATCGGGCTCCTTAAAGGGATCCTTATAAATGGATCTAAATTGGAGGATCATGGGACTTAGTAAGTAAGGTTACAAGTACCGGAATTGGGGTTATAAGTATAGTTACCGTAATTATAACCCTAGTTACTAAGTCCCATGATCCTTTAAGTACGAGCTCTTAGGGTTTCGGGTTTAAGGTTGGGGGGTTTAGGGTTCAGGGTTTAGGGGTTAGGGTTAAGGGTTCAGGGTCTAGGGGTCAGGGGTCAGGGCTTAGGGTTGGGGGTTAGGGTTTAGGGTTGCGGATTGAGGGTGTAGGTTTAGGGTCTACTCCGTTGATTCCCCAAACCGCTGCCCTAAGCCTGAGACACCTTCAGCCCCCATCTAAGCTCCCCAACATCCCCGCCCCAAAGCCGATGAGCCGTTGTTGAATCTCTAGCTAAGGAATCTGAGGTTGATAGGCTCTCAAAGGGTGTTACACGGCTTCTGAGTGAGGCATCATGTCCCCGAGCTGTTTCTCTGCTACCCCTTCCATGGCTGCAACGACGTGTTTCACACGCTGAAAAACGTCACGCTCCAGCATCTGTCAGCCGCCAGGACCATATGCCACGGTGCCGATTACAGCTGCATGGTTCGCAACGGCCTCTCGATGGCTGCCTACGTGGCAAAGGACCCCCAGAGCGATCGGTGCAGTGTCCTTCGCTTGAACACTAGCCTTCTGGAAAGCGCCGACTGGCTGGGCGATGGCCTCCGTGTCATGTGTTTCATCGGGTCGCTGATAAGTACTGCCTGGCTCTGTCGATTATCTCCGAAGGAGACTCTTTACATTGCACTGACAGCCTACTTCTTGCTACTCTTGCATGTCGCCGAGAACATGAGAAGGTATGGCAGCAAGTGGGAACAATTCAGCATGCCGCTGGCTACGACCCGGAACTCTGTCTGGCTCATGGCTCATGCAGTCAGCGCCTCATTGATGCAGGAGCCCTCGACCACCTTCGAACTCCGGGGGCGCAATGAGCGTGTTGCGGAGTCCTGGTTTGGCAGGGTCAAACAAAGCTTCGCCGGCCAGCCAAGCATCAGAGATGCTTTGTTCAGAGTGTAACATTGGGGGTCGGAATTCTTCCTCGTTCTTAACTATAGTTGTACCATGCAACCTCAAAGCCCTAAGTCCCAGAACCCAAAACCATGAAGCCCCAAACCCTTAAGCCTCAAAGCCCTAGACCCTAAAGCCCTAAACCACCAAAACCCTCGAGCCTCAAAGCCCTAAACCCTAAAACCCTAAAGCCCTACACCTAAACGCCTCAGAGCCCTAGATGGGGGATCATGTGACTTAGTAAGTAAGGTTAAAAGTGTTTGAATTAGGGTTATAAGTATAGTTACCCTAATTATATCCCTAGTTACCAAGTCCCATGATCCTCCAGTATAGAACCCTTATAGATCCGTTTATAAGGATCCCTTTGAGGAGCTCTTTATTATAGTACTTATAACCTTACTTGCTAAGTCCCATGAACCTGCAAGTATGATCCTGGGGTCTAGGCCCAACCATAGTTACTATGTCCCATGAGCCTCCAAGCAGCACCCTCATCCGAAAACCCTATAGATCCCTTTAAGGAGCCCTTTAGCTCCCTTTAAGGAGCCCTTTAGATCCCTTCAAGGAGCCCTTTAGATCCCTTTAAGGAACCCTACAGATCCCTTTAAGGAGCCCTTTAGACCCCTTTAAGGGAGCCCTTTAAGATTTCCCCGAGAAGGCTTTGCAAAGACCCAGAGCCTCGAGACCAAGCATGGCTTTGAGCTCAGGCTCTTTTGGCTTTTCGGGGCCTTAGGGTTTAGGGGTTTAGGGGTTTGGGGTTTAGGGTTTAGGGTTTGGGGTTTAGGGTTTAGGGTTTAGGGTTTGGGGTTTGGGGTTTAGGGTTTAGGGTTTGGGGTTTAGGGTTTGGGGTTTAGGGTTTTGGCTTTTCGGGGCCTACCTTTAAGGGGATCCTTTAGGGGTCCCTGTGAAGGGATCTATAAGGGTTCTATAAGGGTATAGGGTTTAGGGTTTGGGGAGTTTCCGAGAATTAGGGGTACCTTCTTTCGGTGTCCCTATAATGAGGATCCTACTATTTAGGGTACTATACTGGGGTCCCCTATTTTCGGAAACATTTAGGGGCCTTACTTGGAGGTTCATGGGCAATTATAAGTGGGGTTATAAGCCCCTTAATATGGGTTGCATTTATGGTTACCCTACTTATAACCCCACTTACAACTATCCATGAACCTCCAAGTAGCAACTGGAGGAGGCTTCCTTTCAGGGTTCTTAAGGGGTGCTATAAGGGATCTATAGCAGTGTTCAATAATCAGAGTAAGGCTCTTAGGGTTTTATATAGGGGCTTTAACAAGTAGAGTAGGCTTCCTTTGACGGGTTCTATAAAGGATGTACATATATGCTAGGGTTACATATGGTAGGAGCCTTAATATTTCGACTTGTTTTTCGGGGTACATTATACTATGATGATACTAGGGAGCCCCGCAAAATCGCATCGGATATGACTGAGACCCTTATATTAGGGTTTAAGGTTGGGTGCTGTTGTACTTGGAGATGAGGGTTTCGCAAGAGCCGTATCAGGCTTGATAGGCCTTGGTGGGGCTTGATGGGGCTTGATAGGCTTCTGTATGGATTTAGGATTTTAGCGTTTGGGGTTATTGGGTTCGATTCTTGTTATGTTGTCTTCGGGTGGGTGTAGCCCCTAAAACATAGCTCCTACCCAGCAATATTCAACTCGCGGGAGTGAAAAGTGGTATCAGCCGTAGCTGTAGTTTTAGAAGTCGACGTCGTCGTCGTAGTCATAGTAGTAACAACAACAGCAGAGACCACTGGTCAGGCTTTCCAGCTCTCAATGCTCAGATTGCTCATATAAGCAACCAAGCAACGACGACTTCTGGCTGTCCCTGTGGTGTCACTTGGGCTGAGCTTGCTGTTCACTTTGAATGTGTGATTGGCAAAGCGCTCCCGGCGCTGACTC